ACACAAAAAATTATTATTATTATTATTATTTGCACAATTACGTGCACAAAGCAAAAAAAATTGTGGGGAGCCAACGGCACGTGGTGTTCCCAAGCGGTCACCCATCCAAGTACTAACCACGCCCGATGCTGCTTAACTTCGGTGATCGGACGAGAACCGGTGTGTTCAGCATGGTATGGCCGTTGACACGAACTTAAAAAATTATTTTTTTACATAAACAATAATAATTTTATTAAAAAGAAAAATCAGTAACTCGATTATAAAGAATAATAATAATAATAATTAAAATTTTTTTTTTGGTAAAATTTACCGTTTTATCATCATCATCATCATTATTATTAGTTTTATTTATTTTTATATTAAATAAAAGATTTTACTGAAATTAAATCTCTTAACCTTAATCCATTAAAAGCGGGGGAGGAGGGGCAGGGGAAAAGAAAAATACATAAACGGATAATAAAAGTTTTTTTTTATTAAATAAAAGAGTTCATTAACCTTTTTCCGAAAATATAATAATAATAATAATTAATAATAATAATAATAATTAATAATAATAATAATAATAATAATAATAATAATAATAATAATAATAAAATACAAGGAAGGAATATCCCGAATTTTACTACTTGTTTGATTTTAATTTTAATTTTATTTTTTTTTTCGTTTTACTTCGTATTTTTCCGTTAATTTTCGTAAAATCTTGAGTTAATAATAGAAAGTTCGAAAAGTTTAAATTATTATAACCGAGAGAGAGAGAGAGAGAAAAAAAAGGGAGGAAAGCGAAGAGAAGAAATTTAAAAATTAAAATACCCGATCGTGTTTTTTGTTTACCCTTTTGCCTTTATCGAAAAGGATAAGGGGGGGTAACGTGATATGATGGAAAAAAAGAATTTATGCTTAAAGGTTTTTGACATGGCGTCGTCACGTGAGAAAAAAGAAAACAAACAAAAAAAAAATTTTCTTAGAAAAAAATGACTTGGAAAAAAAATAAGACGAGAAATGCAATAATAATAATAATAATAATTTATAAAGTTTAATTTAAAATTTAAAAAAAAAAATAAAAAATTACAGGATTTTGAAAACTGGACGGTTACAAATTGTCTTCATTTTTTTATTTTAAATAATAATAATAATAAAATATATTTTAAATTGAGCAAAAAATAAATAACAATGTTGGGATTAAATAAAAAAAAAAAAAAAAAGAAAGGAAAAGAATAAGAAGAAGAAAAAAAAATGTAAAATTAAGAGAGAGAGAGAGAGAAAAAGATTAGAATAGAAAAAAAAAAAATAAAGAGAGAAAAAGAAAATAAAAAGGGAATGTGAAAGAGAGAGAGAAGGGGATGTGAAGAAAGAAAAATAGAATCGTAAAAAAAAAGATGAAAAATAAAATTGACAGAAAGAAAATGAAAAAGAGGAAAAGTAAATAAAGGAGAAGAAGAGAGAAGGAGAGAAAGAGAGAGAAAAAAAGACAACAAAAAAATTAATACGCGAAAAGAGGAAAGAGAATGAATGGAAGAAAATGAAAGAAAAACAGAGAAACTGACAGAAAACGAGATAAACGAAGAGAAACTGAGAGAGAAAGACTAAAAGAAAGAAGAAAAGAGGGAAAAGAGGGAAAAAGACTTAAAGAAAGAAGGAAAGAGAGAGAGTAAATAAAAGATAGAAAGAAAGAATGAGAGAGAGAAAAAGGGGAGACAAAATAATAAAAGAAAAGTGAGGGAGAGAAAGAAAGAAAAAGAGAGAGGGAAGAAAAAAAAAGAAAGAAAGAAAGAGAGAGAGAGAGAAAACGAAAGAGTTGAAGAGAGAGAGAGAGAAGAGAGGGAGAGAAAAAATAATGGGAGAAAAGTAAGAGAGAGAGAGAGAGAGATGAGGTATAAATATAAACGCGAAAAAAGAAAAAAAATATTTAAAAATAATTTTCTCAATTTATAACAACTTAAATTTATCATTGAATAAAAATCGAAGTACAGATAAAGAAAAAGAGACAAAGAGAGAGAAAGAAAATGATTGATTGTTAAAATTTAATAAAATAACAACTGTAGAATTTTCCAGTACAAAAAAAATATAAAAAAATAAATAAATAAAGTTATAAATGAAATTCCATAGAGTAAAAAAAAAAAAATTTTTTTTTAATCATTCTAGACGGTTTTTTTCTAGTTTTTCTTTAAATAAAATATTTTATAATAAAATTAACTAAAATTTTATTCGAGTGTGAATAACAAGGAATCGTCTTCACTATTAAACAATCTCACTCTAAATTTATTATTATTATTATTATTGTTATTAACAATAACTAATAACTAATAATAATAATAATAGTAATAATAATAATAAAAGAAAAAT